CAATAACATCTTCAATATTGATTTTTTGATTGATCAGTGTAGTTTTATCAGTACCTTGCCATTGGTTAATTGTTATTTCTTTATCATTGTTGTCAAATTTTCCTGTTAAGAATTCTTTAAAAGCAGTCATACCAATTCTTTAAAAGCAGTCATACCAGACATAGTAGACATCGATATAACATGCACTCTAGATTATCCCAATTGCAAACAGTCATTCCCATTAAATCTGTATAGTCTTTACTAATTTTAAGAGCATCAGTTAACAACTTAACATTCTGATAATAGGTACAGACACAAACAATGTGAGTGCTAGACGAGTTTGTGGTTACACACCATTTTGGGCAAAGGCTGCAAAACTTTGAAAATCCAACATTTAAACTAGAGTGTTCAGATTTAAATGCTACATGATCTTCTTTTAAATTAATCAATTAGTCTTTTTTGCATTGCTTGTACCCTATACTGATAAAAGTTTTTAATAAAAGCTGTGAACTAGATCAATGGTTTCATGGGAAAGCAACTTTTCTTTTTTTAATGACGGTTTTTACAAAATTTTATGTTTTTTTTTTTAGCTTTTATAGCCTCTTGTATAAGGTAAATAGATACATTAAAAAAACTCTGCAGACTTAGAGAGTAACCATGATTTTGGAGTTAATGTTAATATCTTCATTTTTGTGGAGTATAATGTCACATTTTTTAGTTTATCTTTTAATTCATTTAAAAGTGAGTTTAGATTTTATGGTTATCAACAAAAGAAGTTAGTGGTGTACAAGATGGTGTTAATCTAACATAGGATCAATATTATAAACTTTATTTATTTTTTTTGGTGTTTCTTCAGTTATTTGATCAATTTTTTTTTGGCAGCTAGTAACCGTTGGTGTTTTGGCACTGATTCAAGGCTAATAGGTGACACATCTATAGATTTAAGACTTTCATTGAGAGCTAAACGTTGTTCATGTTCAGACTCAACTCTGCTATAACATTGATCACTTGATTCTAATTTTTTATTTATACTCTGTACCAAGCCTTCCCAGGAAAGGTGTGCGGTTTTTCATCTCGTATGACCACACACGATTATAATATTTTAAAAAACGTGAACACAGCCATTTGCAAGTTTTATAATAATGCTGAAAAAGTTTCAAAAACAAAAAAACAAAACTAACAAAATATAAAGAGATTGAAATAGAAAAAAATAAAAACAAATTAATAATTCAAATAATTTGTGTACTGTTTTTATTTTTGTTTCTTTAGAGTTACATTCAGCAACAAAATTAGATAAGGGTAAGCAAAAAAAAAAAACAGTTTGAAGTCTACAATAAAAAGAATGATTTTCCTTTTTTTAATTTTTTTTTAAGAGGATAGCAAAAATACAAATTGCAATGTGTTTGTAAAATTTATTTGTATAATTTTAATGTAACAACAAAGGTTGAATCAAGCGAATGCAAAACACAAAATCTGGAAAAATATCTAGTATTCAAAATTTTAGTCTATACAAAACTGTGTTTCTTGTTTTTAAGGGGACAATAAACTTAAATTTGTTAGCGAAAAAATAAAAAATAAAACAATAAACTTACGATTACAAAAGTAATAACACTAACTGCATTACAAAAGTCACTAATTGAATTACAAAAGTAATAACACTATAATAGTGTTATTACTTTTATAACACACTTATAACTTTTAAAATTCATTCTTTGTTCAAGCAACATTAGTATTCCCAAATTTTAATTGAAGTAGAAAAATATCTAGAAGAATAAAGTGGATGTTCAAATAATATTAAAACTAAAGTAACTTATAAAATCGTGACAAACAACTTTGTGAAAACGTATCGTATTAAAAGTTTAGCATTATGCAAAACGTTACTAATGGACTGTAAAAACGCGCGTTAATTTTAAAATTAACCAATAAAAATTTTTTACTGGTTGATTTTAAAATTAACGCGCGTTTTTACGCAACGTTTTTCATAATGCTATACTTTTTATAAAATACTTTTTTATAACGTTGTTTTAGTGATATGTGAAAGTTCCTGAAATTTTTAATAATATTTGAATATCTGCTTTATTTTTTCTAGATACTTTTCTACTTTAATAAATGTTTGGAATTAATAATGTTGTTTGAACAAAGAATGAACTTTAAAAGTAACAAGTGCTTTATAAATGTAATAACACTATTATAGTTTTATTATTTTTATAATGCAGTTAGTGATTAAAGAGTTATTACTTTTGTAGTTGTAAGTTTATTGTTTTTGTTTAGTTTTTTGTAACTTTCTAGCTAGCAAACTTTTAACAATTTGCTCCCTATAAACAAAGTACACAGCTTTGCATGAACTGAAATTTTAAAGACCTAATATTTTACCAGAGTTTGAAAACGCGATCGTATAATTTAACTCTTTATATAAATTTGTTACATATAGTTATACAAATATATTTTACAAACAGATGACGATCTTATATTTTCTCTTTCCTCTTTAAAAGAAAAAACACATAAAATATGGGAAAGTCATCCTTTTTAACGCCTAAAACCGATTTTTTTTGTTGTTGCTTTGACTTAATGAATTTTGTTGCCGATAATAATAACCACTAAGAAAAAACAAAAATAAAAACAACACACAAATTATTTAAACTATTGTTTAAACACACAAATTATTTATATTATTGTTTTCTATTTAAGTTTATTTTAATTTCATATGCAATTATTAAATTTAAAACAATTTTTCAGTAACGCATATAATATAACTTGCGCAAACGGTCTTGATCACTTTCTCTAACTTGAAAAACATTTTTGTGGTCATACAAGAAAAAAAACAGCACGCCTTTCCTGGGAAGGCTTGCTGTACCTCTTTGTAACAACTACTGCATAATTTCCACCCAGGTACAACAGGAATATCTTTTGTTTTAAGAGTTATTGCTATTGATAGTGATATCTTCACATTTCCTATAAAAAAAAAATCATTTCTAAAAACTAATATAAACTAAGCATCATTGTAAAGAACATATTAGTATATTTATTAATTTATAAAACAATTAAATTTTAAATTTATAAAAATATTTGAAATATATTCTTCTTAAAAAAGCATTTAGTTGTCTTATTATTTCTTTATTTTATTTAATTACTCTTTAAACCATATAGTCATCAAAACAATATCAAAATTACCTTTCTTTCGATTTCCATGTTTTTTTAAATAGATTACAGAATTTCTGTAATTTCCTTTCAAATGCAACTCTAAAGTGTTCTCTATGACAATAGCAAACTGTTGTAAACAATTTTCCACAATCAAATAAACCAGCTCTCTATAACAACTTGTGTTTTTTATCACTTGAAAATGTTAATAGGTCTAAAAGACCTTGTCTTCTTGTTAAACCTTGCTTGTGACAATCAATATTACATTATAATCCAATAGAACATTTTTCCATATTTTCCAACTTTTAATTTTATTCAAAAAATCTAGTTTTGAAATATTTTACAAAGTAAATATTTTTTAGAAATATCATTAACATTATTTAGTTTATGGTAAGTTATTTATACATTTTATTATAATATACATATAATTGGATGTGCCATATTATACGACTTCCTTTTATACATGAATAAATGGAAATTAATTTTTATTTTATTTACAGATCATATAGTAATTATTTAACATTTATTAATTAGTTAAGTAAATATAAAAATTCTGCAGAGAAAAAAGAAACTTACAATATCAAATCAGAAGCAACAATATAATAATGAAGAAATAAAATGTTTTATTTATAAAAGAAAAAAAAAATGTCTTTTATAAATATATTTGGATTACAGCCTAGCAAAGTTTCTATACTTAAAAAAATGTTAGTCTTTTACAAAAAAATTAACTTCAATAAATAAAAATAATATTTCTAGTTATTGCTCCATAAAGCCTCCAAAAAGCTTAAAAGAAAAATTTTTAACAAAACAAAATTTTCAATTTTGGACAAATATTTAATAAGGAATATATAATTTTTTTTTTGAGGGAGGGGGGAAGAGAAAAGCCTGTTCCCCCTCCCCATACTTTGAGTCTACCCTAGGCACCAAAAAAATATAAATAAATTATAAACTTATTATTGCCCTCAAAAAGACTTTAATAGTATTTTTTTACAACATAAAATTAAGATATACCTAATTTTATCATAAATAAGTTAGCAATAAATTTTATGCTGACTCAGCATATATATAAGCTACATTTAGAAAAGTTGAAAAATACAGTAATATATTTTTTATTAATAGTGATGTTTGATACCTAAATGGTAAGTTATAACCATGCATCAAAAAAAATTATCAAGATAACATCACGATTTTGACCATCGAAATGCCCCAAAATATATGCCTTTATTATCTAATTTACATGTTATTATAGTGGTCAAAAAAATTTTCAATTTGAAATTTGTATCCACCATGTGGAATATTGTCTATGTACAAAATTTCAGGATGATAACTCATTTGGTTCATAAAATATTGCTATTTAATAACAAAGAAGTATTTTGCAAAAAATGCTGAGTCAGCATAAATAAGAAAATTGAATCCTGAATATCTCAAGAACCGTAAGGGGTTGTAGGTTCCAAATTTCAGATTTTCTTAATTTTTATAAACCCTATCACATATAAAAAAAAATTAGCAAAATCTAAAACATGGGGTGACATGTGCTTGCTGTTTTGACATGGAATTACCCACCATTAACTGGATCATTATATAATATATAACAGCAATCCTATTTTTCTGCAAATCAGATGAGCGCTAAATATATCTCCTGGAAAAATATTCTACCAAATATTCTATTACAAAAAAAATCTATAAAGGGTCACATAATTTGAAGAACTGTCCAAGATTCTCCAAACCTCGTCAAATATTTAATTTTTTCATCAAGTATCTTTACTATTTACAAAAAAAAACCCATTAAAATCAAAATGGAACTTTTAAAAGCTTTAACTAATTCAGGTTATTTCTTTAAAAATTTAAGCAAAAAGAGAATTATTAAATATAATATTATTCACCTTTCTGATTTCAACTGTAACATCATTTTTTCGTCTTCTAAAATCCTAAATTAGAAAAATATTAGAGCTTAATTTAAATATACAAAAAGCAGCTTAACAACACAGTGATTTTTAATTAAATAAATTAAAAAAAATATATTTATCATAGTTAAATATATAACTTAAAAGTCTTTTTTTTTTTTTTTTTTTTTTTTAACATCTTCACTTCCAACAAGGCTGCAAGCAACCACTATAAGAGTTGGAAGTTACTGGAAGAGAAAAGACTAAATCTGTAGAGCAAGATAGCGATTGGCTGATGACTTAAATGATTGCAAATTATATGAATCAGGAAAGCAAGATGACGGAAGCGAATTCCAAAGAACTGATGTTCGAGGAAAAAAACTAGAAGAATAAGAGTTTTTGAAGCACTTAGGAACAGTCACAGAAAAAGGATGAGACTTAATTGAATGACGAGTAACACGAGAATGAATTTTAGTAGATGGCACAAGAGACGCTAGCTCTTTAGAGCAGTGCCCATTATAGTATTTGTAGAAAAGAGAAAGAGAAGCAACATCACGACGATGTGACAAAGGTTGGAGATTGGCTGCCAGAGCAGGTCCAACTATGTTTACAATGCGTTTTTGCACCTTGTCTAAAAGAGAAAGGGCATCATTAGAAGATCCGCCCCAGATGTGGCAACAGTATTCCATACAGGAACGGATTTGAGATTTATAGAGATAGAGAATAGAATCTGGAGTAAGAAAGTGTCGAGCTCGATAAAGAGATGCAACCTTAGCAGATGCTAATTTTGCAATGGATTTGATATACGGTTTAAAAGAAAGATCAGAAGTAAGAGTTATTCCTAGAAGATGAATGGTAGATGACTCATCTAGTACATTACCATTCATAAATATAGGAAGATCTAAATTATTACGATAACGATTGGCCGAATAAAATTGAGTTTTATCTGAATTAAAGTTCACCAGCCACTGTGAGCCCCATGCTGTAGCAGAAGTGAGATCCTTTTCAAGCTCAGATACCCCCTCCAGGCAATCAGAGAGTGTAGGCTTCTTATCATGACAAGAGTAAATGGTAGTGTCGTCAGCGAATAATGCCACCTTAGATGTGAGAATATCTGGGAGATCGTTAATGTAAATTAAAAAGAGTATAGGGCCAAGGATTGAACCTTGAGGAACCCCTGAAGTTACAGGATATAAAGAAGAGTGTTGTCCATCGAGGACAACTTTTATACTACGATTGGAAAGAAAGGACTCAATAATCTTAAAGATGCTACCAGATACACCATAAGAAGAAAGCTTATGGAGAAGACCAGCATGCCAAACTTTATCAAATGCTTTAGAAATGTCAAGTGCGATAGCCTTAACCTCTCCACCTCTATCTAATGCACGGTAAAACCTATCGGTTATTACTGTTAGCAAATCAGCTGTAGAACGAGAAGATCGAAATCCATATTGATGATCAGAAAGTAAGTTAATTGATTCAAGATGAGAGATTAAGTGTTTGTTGATTAAAGATTCAAAAACCTTGCTTATGACAGGAAGAAGACTAATGGGACAGTAGTTAGATGAATCAGATCGCTCTTCGGAATTTTTGAAAATAGGGATAACAGATGCTGCTTTCCAGCATGATGGAAAACAGGACTCTGATAAGCACTTGTTAAATAGTTTTGAAAGTATGGATGAAAGCTCCGGAGAACACTTCTGCAAGACTACAACAGGAATGTTGTCAGGACCACAAGCTGTTGAAGAGTCTAAGCAGGAAATAACTTTTGATACAGAAGCTGAAGTGATGCGAATGTCAAGCAAGGGATCAACCTGTTTGACGGCTATGTCAGGTAGAACGCAACTAGTGGAATCGAGAGATGATATTGATGAAAAGTTCTTAGCAAACAATTCAGCTTTGTCTTTAGGTGAGGTGACAAAGTCTGAACCATACAAGAGAGAAGGAATAACAGATTTGCCCTTATTATTGATACTGTTAAAGATTCTCCAGAAGTCTCGAGAGCCTAATTTTTGTGATGAGATACGAGATTTTATGACCTGAGAATAGCAAGCTTTGGCGTCAGACAAAACCTTTTTACAATGGTTTCTGGCGATAGTGAACAGATGTCTGTTTTCTGGAGAATTGTTTTGCTGATAGATATGGAAGTAAGGGTTTCGATTAGAAATTGCTGCAGCGCAATGTGAGGAAAACCAAGGAGAAGAGTGAGGCTTGACCTGGAATCATCGAGAGGGAATAAATGATTCCATTCCAGCCTGAATCCACGAAGTTATGTAAGAAGCACATTTGTCAGCAGGAAGACGAAAGATTTCAACCCAAGGGCCATCACGAAGAAAATCACTAAAAGAGTCCCAGTCAGCTTTAAGGTAGTTGTATGTGGTACGATGATAGGGGGATTCTGATAAAGTAGAAGAATTTGATAATAGTTTTAGAGAGATCAAACCGTGATCAGAAGCACCTAAGGGTGAATGTGGAGAAATTGAGCACTGGCTAGGATCCAAAACAAGACATAAGTCGAGTAGAGAAGGTAAATGATTAGGGTTGTCTAGAAAGCGAGTTGGAAAGTTGACTATTTGAGTTAGAGATTGAGAAAGGCAAAAGTTGAGGGCCTTAACGCCAGCAGAGTCACTGACACTAGAGCCAAGCCAATCAGTGTGATGGGCATTAAAGTCACCAACAACGACGATATTGGCCAATGGATAAAGAGAGAGGGCTTGGTCAATTTGATCAGAAATAACATCGAGAATAGTGCAATCTTGGGATGAAGGAGAGCGATATAGAACAAAGAGAAAGACGATAGAGTGAAGTGGTGCTAAACGAAAGCACATAAAAGAATAGTCAGTAGATTCAAACCTAGTTTCACGACAAATGGGTGAGTTCTTACGAATGTAGATGCCCAGGCCAAGCATGTGATTATTGGAGTCTTTACGAATTAAAGGAAGATAACCATCAACACTAAGATCACAAGATGGGACAGCCGAACTCAAATTAGTCTCACAAAGAGCAAGTAGGTCTGGTGAACTTTGCAAGAGATAAGACTCAACAGAAGAAAAGTTACTTCGAAGACCACGAATATTAGTAAATGATAGGTTTAGAGAACTTGGTGATGACGATGGTTTTTTGTGTTTTTTAGTTTTAGGTACTTTAGTCATTTTAAATTTATAAAGAACTTGACTCAAGTATAGATAGTACTCAGTACACTATTTTACAACTAAGCAATAGCCTCATTACTATTAATAAACCCTAAGCCGTAACAAAGGGCTCCAAATGTGGCCTCTGCAATGCACACCAAAAGTACGAACAGGGACACCATCCATGCGCAACATGGCACTGTTAGTACTCTGATATTTTTCGGCTGTTGATGGAATCAGCCTCTCTGAGAGCTACCACAGAGTTCGGGAAACCTGAATACCAGCCGGCCTCAGAACCATAAAACTGAGTTTTAGAGCTGTACCCTCATTAGGAGATAATAGAATGAGTTGTCCAGTCATAAAAATAGAGACACAAGAATACCCACGCATTGAGTCAAGAAGATCCAGTTTAAAAAAGTCAGTTTACCATAAGTTTAAAAAAGTCAGTTTACCATAGAAAAAGTTTAAAAAAGTCAGTTTACCATAGTAAGTTTAAAAAAGTCAGTTTACCATGTTTAAAAAAGTCAGTTTACCATAGAAATTAAAAAACACAGTCATTAATAGCAAAATCATTAACTTCTAATATCTGTTTCAACCACACACAAAAAAAATTATAATAATAAAAAATTTTTTTAACTTGTATCTATCTGGTAAAAATTATTAAAAACAAAAACAGTTTTATTGAGATTTTGACATATTTAATAAAAAAAAAGGTAAGTTTTTATTGACAGTTTTACTTTTAAAAAACTGTTTCATAAATTCTTTATAGCAAAATTACTATTATTAGCATGTGCATGCATATTTTATTAAATTTAATTTTTTTAACAAAAATTGGAATAGATAGGTTTACATTTGTGATGCAAAAAAAAAACAAAAAAAAAAAAAAATACTATTAATATATAAACAACATTTTGTTGTTATTTTTTAGATCATAAAAATAAATGCAATGCTAATAAGTTTTTTAGTTTCTTTACTTCTGTCACAAACATTCCTAAATAAACACTTTTTTAAAAAAAATTATGTTTTTGGCTGACAAGGGTTATATAGTCATAGAAAAAAGATCTAACAAAGACTTGAAAAACAAGAAAAATTGAATCTATATTATTTGGAGCATCATAACAATTATTTAAGAAACATGAACTTGTGCCAAACAACATTAGCATATTTGATACAAAGTCCTATAAATATCTAGTTGTTTTGTTTGGTCATGGTCATACTCTTAAAGTACAATTTCATCTGCCATATTGAAAGGTATCATCAAGATCATGTCTTAATATTACTACCAAATATTTAAAAAAAAAATACAATTTTACATAGGTTCACATGGTTACAACACACCTCCAAAAGGTCTTTGGCAGACTTCTACTATGAATTTTAACAATCAATATTTTATAGCTTTAGAATTTTTTGTATAAAAGGTTTTTTTGAATAAAAGGTTTTTAACTTTTTATATTTATAGTTTTTAATAATTTCTTTAGTTTTTAATAATTTATTCTACTTTATTTATAAATAGGACTTATAAATAGCAGTTCTATTTTAATATAAAATACTATATATTAATAATATTTGCGACAAATGGTTTTGATAAAATCTAGCATGCTTCTCTTCACTATAAACTTTCCTCCTATGGCAAAATTTAACGAAAAGATTAATCATAATATAAAATCTTTTATCAAAAATAAACTATAAGTTATCAAAAATAAGTTAAAATGAAAAAAAAGCTGTCAAAAAAAAAAAAAAAATGCAATATTATTAACTGGTGGAACACTTGATTAGACCAAATCTTATGACTAGTTGAAGTTTTGTATTTTTTATAATTTGTCATAAGTTTAAAATAACATTTTTACATTTGGAATAAACTTGTTTTAGCACGTTCAATTTAAAAGTAAATTTGAGTTTAAAATACCATCTCTGTAATTAAGACTAATATATCAAACAATTGATCTTTCCCTATAAAGTAAAGGAAACAACAAAAATAAGTCAAATAAAATGTGAAATATTGAAAGAACTGAGATTGTCCCAATAGACTTTGGTGTATTTTATTTCACACCTTTTAAATTTTTTTAGTTCAAATTTTAAAAACTATGTTATTGGAGTAACATTTGCACTAAATAAGACTTCGAAGAAAAGATAACAACAAGTGCACCAAACAATGTTTTTCAGAACAAAAAAAAAAAAGAAGTTGGGATTTTACATGTTTGTACCTAAATGCTTTAGCAACTAAGTAAAACATAAAAATTTATTGTTTAATGCAATTCCCAACAAAGAAAATATTTCTTATAATAGTTTTTACATACTTTTACATCCTTTCAAATATTTTTTTAATCATAAACTGAAAATAAAATGCATTTAAACAAGGTAATCTTATTGAACCAGTTTTACATTTTCAAATTTAATTGATTGCACAAAAAAAGTCTTCATTGTTGTATATGTCTTAGTTAATAGACAACCCATCAGGGCTAGAACCAGCCATGGCATTTTGGATTTATAACAAGATCACATTTTTAGCATCACAGTTAACTTTTACTCTAAACTTTTCATGAGCAATACTTTTTTTTTCAATACTCCATTAACAAGCTTGTGATTGTAAACTACTATCACAGTTTTTTATATGCTTTTTTAACAATGAAGTTGGAGGATTATTATTTCTACGGTTTACAACTGTGCTAAAACTTGATGCAGTTAGTTTTTTATTTTGTTCTTCAATCCATTTTTGTTTTTGTATTGATCTTTAGTTTCTGATTTAATTTGAATTATTTTCTTAAAATTGATTTACATAATGGCAAGCTTTAATTTTCCTCAGTCAAACAGACTATTTGGTTTTCGCCACTGTTAAATTCCTTGTTTGTAATTATACAAAATGTTTCCTTTAGTGGAATGCTAAAGGCTTTTTTAAAAGCTAGATCCAGCAGAAATATTTATAGAGTTAATTATATATTCTTTTACTTATCTATACTTGTAGAATATACTTCAAACAAATTTCTCTAACAAAATTCAACTACAGTTGTGTTGAAATATCCATTTATATTACAATGCAGTTATTCTCCTGCGGAGATAATAAGATTTGTAAAATATTTTGGCGTAAATGTAATTAATTACAAGAGAGAAAACTATTATCTATGTACGAGCAAGCCACAAAATAATGAAAAATTAAAAAAACTATAAATCACAAGTTTTTGATTTTTCTGTACATACAAATACTATAATGCATTGCTTTATGGGGAAAGGTCAATTGTACGGAAAAAGTTATATAAGGAATTTATAAAAAATATTATTTCTCAATATAACTTTTTTCAAGCAATAATGAAATAAAAACAAATTTTAAAATCACAAAAACTGATATTAAAAACTTAATAATAGTTATAATATGTCAATATAAAACAATATATTTATATAATTATAACATGTTGATATAATGACAATAAATTTATATCATTATAACATGTTAATGTAATGATAATATATTAATATGATGTTATTTATAAATAACTATGACATATTACAAAAACATTACAAAAACCTTTATCATACCAATAAATTTTTATATAGAATGTTAAACAAGTAAAAACAAGTAAAGGCCAAAAATATATTGCAACAACAGTTTAATTTTTAAACTCTGAGAAACAAAATCAATTTAACCAATAGCACCATAAAACTTGAATGTGATAAAGTTTCATTTTTTATAAAATGATCTTTATTATAAGACATAGAAGACTTACTGATTGTCATCAAAATTATTCAAAACTTTGTGAATTTATTTTGGCGACAAACTACACAATTTTATAAATAGAAAATTTAGGTGGTAAGACATTTTTTTGACAAATTTTTGATTTTCTGTCACAATTCAAAAATTTGTCAAGGCAATTAATTCAATCTATAATTTTGCAACATTATAAACTGAACAATACTTTATAAGCAAGTTGCCCCACATTTAAAGTTGAAAAAGAAAAATAGCAACATAATAATACCAATATAGCAAGTTTTATTTGTCTTATGATGTGAGCCATGTATGGTTATGTTATTCATAATACTAAAGTAGTTACTACCTATGTGGTATATATAGCATAATGACACATAACCCTCATTTACACCATCATATATATATATATATATATATATATATATATATATATATATATATATATATATATATATATATATATATATATATATATACACACACACATATATATATATATATATATACACACACACACATATATATATATATATATATATATATACATATATATATATATATATATATATATACATATATATATATATACATATATATATATATATATATATATATATATATATATATATATATATATATATATATATATATATATATATATATATATGTATATATATATATATATATATATATATATTTATATATATATATATATATATAATAGGCCCTCATCAAATGTGTGTGTATATATACATATATATATATATATATATATATATATATATATATATATATATATATATATATATATATATATATATATATATATATATATATATATATATATATATATATATGTATATATATATATATATATATATATATATATATATATATATATATATATATATATATATATATATATATATATATATATATATATATAATAGGCCCTCATCAACTTTTCCCCTTAGGGTCTGATACAAATTTTGGCTGTAAAAAATATCATTTAAATACCAATAAAAATATTTGTTATTTTATTTATTGTTAGATATGACTTCTACTTTCTTTTGCACTTTTCATGCTAAACTGAAAATGAATAAATAGAGTGGTTTTTTGTATAATTTTGAACTTTGGTGTAACAATTAAAACTATTATTTAAAATACTAATCATGTTTATTGTTAAAAAAAAGTCAATATAGATTGATTTAAGCTTTTACAAGTGGCTTTTTATTATTATTATTAATATATTTCTTATATTATTATTATTATTATTATTATTATTATTATTATTATTATTATTATTATTATTGCTGCTATTATTATTATTGCTATTATTATTATTGTTATTATTATTACTATTACCATTATCGATAATATTTTTTTTTTTTATTACTTTAAGATAAAAATAAAAATTACAAAAAATAATAACAAAGTAAAAACATTTTATTATTAAAAAAACAAACAAAACAATAATAAATTACTGTACAGAAATGTCTTTTCCACGATTTTTAAACTCTCGACTTCGAACATTTTCTTGAGAAGGCATACTTAAAATATTTGTTTGACCTTTTTTCTTTTTCTTAGATTAAGTTTAGGTTTGCACAAATTTACAAATTATAAATTTTAATGTTCGCGGGTATACTTTTCCGGAAAATGGATAATCTAATAATATACTTATAACGACTGTCAATTGGCTATAACTTAATTATTCCATTTTTTATTTAATTTATTCTCGCTTTCTATAAAACTTAAAATTAAAACTTTTATTCTTTGTGACACAAGTAATAGTAATTTTAGTGACGCAATAAATTACAGTTACAGTAAATTTTCCCAGAGGAATTTAGAATTTAAACGGGACGTACTTTGTCACGATTTATTTTTAAATAAATTAGAATTAAATCAGAATTTATTTATTATACATTTAGGGCCGTCCCGATGAGGAGGGGAGAGGGGGAGGGGTGTATGTATTTTTTTGCCAACTAGAAACAACAACAACAAAAAAAATGTTTTCAAATTTGCAATTTGCCAACTATAGTTCAAAACTTGCTCATGTGCCAACTCAAATGCTTATATGACAATTTTGAAGGAGGTGGGGGGGGGGGGGGGAGGGCTTACCCTATGCCCCCCTCCTTCGGGACGGCCCTGTATACATTTAATACTTATATTATTTATTATATATATGAGCAATAAAGTCTAAATCGTAAAAACTTGATAAGGATGGAGACATTGCGACATCGATAAAGATGGAGACAAGAATTCGCTGATTAAATGCTCTTCCGTAGTGCTCTGTGATAAGACCGTTAGGTCTTTTTTTTTTGGAGCACCTTTTTAACTAAAAACTTCAAAACTTTTTTAACTTGAATTCTGGTTTAAACATTTTTTTGATTTTGAATTATGTTGATATAAAGGTCACTAACAAGCAACCCGTGCCGTTTCCCCCTATTTTTGTTATCTTGCACCGATTCCAGTGGCGGATTCATTATTGTAGGGCGTGGGGAGGGGGCGAGCTGCCCCCTGAGCTCCCCAAATCAGTCAACTGGCGCCACTATAAATATAAATTTCTTATTACAAAACTCTGCATTTATTTAAATGGAAAATAGAAAACTATGTAACAACAAACCATTTACACATTTTCCCGCAACTGTGGCAGAAAACAAAACAGAAACGTTTTGTTCTAAGAAAATATCTCTTTTAATCATAATGTTCACACTCAATGGGTTTTAACCATAGTTTTGTGTATCTAAACAACTGTGACTTGGTGTATTAAAACAACTGTAAAAATGAGGGAAAAAATAAGTTTTAAATTAACTGATTTCAATATTGTGGAGCAATTAAGATTTGTTTTTATAAGTTAAAAATGTTTTTGGCAAAATCCGTATGGTATCCCCTCCCCACTTGAAATCTACACGCTCCGGCCCTCTTTCAAAATGTGTATGCATCAATATCTCCAGCAGTGACGACTGAACTATAAATTAACGGCGTACATCCATCCTTAATAGAGAAATAGATAGCATCATGTTTTCCTAACTTGTCTATACTCTACGAAAACAAATTGACTCTTCCTTTTACATGTTTTACATGTTTATGATGAGAGAAGTTTCAGTATACTAAACATCAAAAATTATCTGTGATTAACAATGAAAAAGTAACGTATTTTTGCATTAACATTAATTTTAATTGAATGTGAGTTTGCTGAGAGCATTGACAATCATTTTGTTTCAACCCAGAGGGCACAGACGTCCGTTTGACGTCTATACAACGACTTATAAATGTCACTAGTCCTTATGATGTTCTGGCAAAAATAAATTTGTATAAACTAGCAGAAGAGTAAGTTTTTTTTCTTAAAGCTTGCTTTCAGTAATATGTATTGTGCAAATATATCTTTTTTAAATATTTTTTTTGACGATAATTGTTAGCCAAGTAAACTTAGCAAACTCAAACTTCAGATTGTTTAGTGTTTTAGATGTACTTAATAGTTATAATAAAAGGCACATAAAAGCATTGATAAAATATGTTTATCACGAGTGCGATTCTCAAAAAACCGTTTCTAGGGGTAACGTGCTACCTCCAACCTTTGTCACCCCCTACTCATTCCCATGCCCCCTTCCCCAACGACGCTAAACCTCAATTCGCCACTGACCGATTCCCTCTATTTTAATATTTTTAACACACATATATTCATGAAAAAAATCATCGAGACTAGTTTATAACTAATAAAGTAATTAAGAAAATTTTGTAGCTGGAAAACTGATATACAATTGCTTACAAGGTCGTCAGGCATTTGTTGATGCTAGATATTCTACGAAAAATTTTAGTTAAAGGTGTATACACCTTTAACTAAATTTAACTTAAAAAAAAAAAAGTGCGAAAAGGAGCAACTACGTAGACGCTCTTTTTCGCACTTTTTTGTTGTTGAAATAATTAAAGTTTAGTACAAAGTCCTTGTAAAATGTTGCTTTAGCGCTACTGTAATCAGCAATTCAGGATTATTTGATGTTACAGAGATTGTAAAAACACCAAAATTAATTATGTTTATGTTTATGTCAAATGTGAATATTTTACAAAAAATCGCAGTGATTAGAGCCTGGGAACATAAATAACCCAACAGATTTACCATCCCTAACCCAAATGCAAGGGGAATGAGTTTAAAATAATTTAATTTACTATATTATACTAAATTGAAATTCATCGACAGATTTTAAAATTAAATTAGATTTTAAATCTAAGATTTTAAAATTCATCTTAAAATTAAATCTTTATGCATTCAAAAGTTGTGACCATAAAAAATTTACAACCCCTTGTTTTGAATAGGAGTGAAAACTTTACCTGGTCATCATTTTTGAATACAAAAGTATAACTATTTAAAATTTGAAACCTCTTGATGAACATAAATTTAGTATAAGATAGTAAACTAAAATTTCTTTTAACTCTTTGCCGTAGCATTTTGGTTAGAGGGTTAAATCTTTTAGGGTATTATTATTCCCAGGCAATGATCAATGCAATTTTTTGCTAAGCATATCTTATCTTTAAAACCAAGCGGCTACTAAATAACAAATTTACTAAAAAACTATAAAAATCTTAGAGAAATATGATAAGATTATATACAAGAAATCACTTAATTCTTTTAAAAGTCTTCAGTATTTTTTAAAAGTTTTAATTGCATTAACAGGAGAAAAAGCCATCCTCTACTAAACAGAAAATAAAACCATTTATAGAGCAAAAGCTAACAGTGATGTTAAGAGAATTAGTTAACATTTTAAAGAATTTGCTTAATCAATAGAACGTTTGAGAATGATGCATTTCGAAAACTCCTTGTTGAAAATGTTAAGCATGTTCCCAGGCAGACGTATTCATTGTTTAAAATTGTGAATATGTTCCTTTTTTTGAGTGTGTTTTTTGTATCTTTTTACACTTTACTTAATTTTCTAGCTTCTGTTTTTATAACTTTTATTAACTTTTTTTTAGCTACAATTGTTATGTTTTACATATACTAACTCGAATATTTTATATATAAGTATCACAACTTGAATATTTTATTTTATATGTAGTATTAGAACTTAAATATTTTATTTAATATATAGTATATTTTATATATCACTACTCGAATACTTTATTTTAGTTTTGTGAGAATTATGCATTTTTGTTTGTAAACATAATCTATATAGTTTTTACTGCATATAACAATAACTTATATTATTGAAAATGATATATATAATTGTTATATTCAGTAAAAAAAAACGGGAAAATTGACTTTGAGTTTTTTACCAGTATAACTTGTTTTAATATATAAAATATAGTCAGTGCTGAATTAAGGAAAACTGGGCCCTAGACACTAAATTTTTTGGGGGTTATTTTTACATTAAAAAAACTATTTTGACAGAATTATTGAGTAATAAAGTACACATCTTTCAATACATTTATAATTATGACAACTATAAAAACTTATAAGAAATATGACAATTTAAGAAATCAACATTGTCATACTATATGTCGTTAAATTTTAATTCCTAATTCATTTTTTGATAAATTCATTTATGGTATCAAAAAAATTGATGTCAGAAAATCGAATTTAAAAACTTCTGTCGAAAGTCTTCATTTTTAGTAACTTCTGGAGAAACGTAAGGCATTTTACTTGGCTTTCTATTGTTTTTCATTTACATTAATGATTTTTCTGACAATCTTAAATCTAAGGTTCTACTGCTGACAACTGCAAATGATTTAATTGTAACTCCTACCTTGACAAAAAATCATATTTTTTTTGATGGCTTAGAAACAGGCAATCTTGATCCTGATCTTAAAGTTTGGGGCTTGCAATATTATTGCAAGCCCCAAACACATTGTAGATGCAGTTGAACCTGCCAAACTTAAGCCACTCCCTTATTGTCGTAAATGCATCTTTTTGCCTTTTCTACAAATACTATCATGTTTGTCGGTCAAACTAGTTACCATTTCTATTTCTATCAACCAAAATTCATTCTCGCTTGACTCGTTATTCAGCATAGTCACATCCTTTTGCTATATCTGTCCCTTCATGCTCTAAACACTTTTATTCATCAAGTTTAATTATAATTTGGAAATCTTTCTCAACGTCATGTTTTCCTAACTTATACAACCTACAACTTTTTAAAACTTTTTTCAACCGTTTCCTTGCTCTTTAACACTATCTTTTGTTTTTAGTTACTCCCAACTTAATAGTTATTGCTTGCAGTTTTGTTGGGAGTGAACTAGTTAAAAAAACTCGCTGATACGAAAATTATCTTGAGCAGGTAATATCGCTTGCGGAGCATCCCCCATTATTAGGAGTTCTCATTTTGTAGACGAATTCACGTTGTAACATCCACATATTGCGTAACATACTTTCTAACGATGAAAGCATCAAAGTAAAAATTTTGACACTAATTTGTTCTGACTGAAGAGCTTTGCTTGTTGATCAAAAACTATTGAAAATATTGGTTTAATACGAGTATGAAGACAAACTCAAATGTTACCTCCTTATTTGCGATACATTCAACTTCGTGCCTTGTTTCAATTTTTTGAGAAGGATTTATAGAAAACTCACTTAATGCAATCAAAATTGCATTAAAAGAATTGAAAACTGCTTCGATGGCATTCACGTGAGTTTCTATATTGTTTGTAAAATGATTTGAGTACTATTTTGTTTCCTATGTGCTGTTTTGAGATATCCCTACGATGCTTCAAATTTGAA